AACTATAAGCTTTATCAAAGAGGGAAGTCTGAAGTCTCCTTTTGAAAGTTGAAGGGGTGTCCTGAACCTCCAGCAGTAAATGATTCCAGAGGATAGGAGCCTGATACCTAAAAGCTCTACCTCCAATACTACTTTTAGAGATATTTGGTACAACAAGTAGACTTGCAGAGTGTGAGCATAGTAGTCTAGAGGGAAAGTAAGATATTACGACCTCTTTAAAATATGATGGAGCCTGGCCATTAAGAATTTTGTGTGTGAGAAACTCAAACTCAATTTAAGATTTAATAGGGACCCAATGAAGAGAGACTGAGACAGAAGAGAAAGAACTTTATTGATCCTCAAAGAGAAATTCAATATGTGCTCCCTTTTACTAGTTCTAGTCAATAGCTGCAACATTTTAGACCAGCTGAAGAGTCCTTTAAGACTTATTAGAGCAGCCTGGTTTTTTTTTTTAAATACTTGACTTCATAACACATATCTAAATATAGGCTTGTGTAATTTATCTTTTCTGCACTGGATGGTTACAGATTTCACTTTGGATTAAGGTGTTGCTGCAGAAGTTCTCACAGTGTGCACACTTCAAATGTCTCTGAGGGAATTGTTAAAAAAAACAAACTAAAACTGTCAACTCTTACTTCTTAAAATTAAACAGTGCAACTTTATTTTATGACTATCATTTAGAGAAAGAGTGCACTTCAACTAAGCTCCTTTATTGTCTCCTATGTGTCTCACAAAATAACATACTACATGTAGACTTAGACTTAGACTAAACTTTATTTATCCCTTGGGATGACTCCCGCAGGAAATTCGGGATGTACACCATACACCAGGCTGCAGGTGTGGCTGCCTCTGATGATGACTGTTTACTAATTCATATTTGCACCATTTGTTTCCAGTTTTCTGTCATGAAATCCTCATACCTCTTATTTGTAGTTGTCTATTTGATCTATTTTTACTCCTAAATCTGAAGAAAAGCGGTGATGAAAGCAGCTGGCAGACATGGAGTCCTTTAGAAACACCCTCACAATGTGGAGGCCAAAGAGCCACTTTGTTTTTCTCATATTTCCTATATTTCCACCATCCTCCACACTACCTTCACCTCCACCACCCTGCAGCTTGGTAGCTTTTCCCATCCTTAAATTCCCTCAAAGTTTCAGATGCTCACAACTCCCACAATGCCCAGATGCTGTCCTTTGGCCCTTTACCCCCCTCAACCCCGAGCTATCATTCATAACCTTTCTGTGGAGTGAAAGAGGTGGGATAAGGGAGAGAAAGAGGAGGAGGGTGGGTGGGGGGGAGTGGAGAGCAACATGGCAGCTTATTTAGAAGACTTCCTTTATTGGAACATGTGCAAGCAGTTCACTCACAAAGGACTTAAATAGGATATTTTCTGTTCCCTATAGTTGCTTTCCCCTTTTAAGTGCCGAGGCAAAAAAAGTAAGTTTACAACTCCCTCCTCAATGGGGGCTCTTCACTCGCAGGTTGCGGGGACCTGAGTGACCTGGGAAAGTTAATTAGGAGGCGAACAAAGAGCGAGCCGGAGCAGAATGCCCAGCCTCTCCTCCAGCCAAAGATGTCATCCATTAATTAGGAAAATCTTTAAGGTGGCCTTATTGAATTTACAGAAAGCCCTGTGGTTGGCGGGCAACAGTTTTTTGATCAGGCCCTGACTCAAACAATGCCTTTCTGGGGGTTAAAGAAGAAGAAGAAGAAGAAGGGAGGAGATTGGTGGTAGAAGAAGAAGAGAGGGAGTGAGGGGAGGGAGGAGGGGGGAGAAAAAGAAACGTATGGGGTTTTGCGGCGCAGTACAGTTTAATGGTGGGGTGGTGGGGTTTGGAGGGGGAGTGGTGATTGTGACAGCTCAGATTCACATGGGTATGGGGGGCATAGTTTGGGGATGATGTCATGCAAAGGCAACCTGGGGGCTTGGGAAGTAAGAAGGAGGGAGGAGGAGGAGGAGGAGAGGAGAGAAGGGGGGTAGTGAGTTTGAGCCACAGGGGCCACTCAAAGTTAACATCGCTGCCTGCATCTGGGCCAAATCCTTTTCTCCTGGCTCAGGAGAGGCTTTCCTGAACGCTGGGGTCCTCCTCCTCCTGCTTTTCCACTCCTCCTCTCCTGCTCCTTTCTTCACATTAGGCTTTGCTTTAAAGCTAACTTGTGTTAACTGATTACTGCTGACTTTATGCCGATTTATCTCCAGTTCTCTGTAAACAGAACAGAGAGATGACTCCGAGGTTTGTGTTTCTGATGAGCTCTGTTTCTACATGAATCCATTATCTTTGTCTATTATGTTTGTCTACTATGTTTGTCTATTATGTTTGCTGATTTTACCCTAAATATGTAAATGTTGTATTTTACAACAAGAACTCTCCCCCTGCTTTATTTCAAGACTGAATTGTATCCCTCATCAGAAACCTTTGCCAGAGAAACTATGACATTTGGCTGTATTGGTAGCTTGCAGTTAACCCATTTGCCTGACAACAATCATTTAAGATCTTACAGATCAGTATGTGGGGAAAATCAATCAAAATATTGAATGTTTTTTTGTTATTTTGAGTCTTTTTTTGTAGCTGAACAGCTAACTACAGCTAAAAACTCCTCTCAGGGGCTTTAAATCCTTATCCAGATGACTTAAATTTATGCTTTTTAAGATAAAGGTTAAAATATCACAGACCAATCAGTTCAAACACCTCTACATTAAGATTTTGTGTCTTTATAAATACATTATTAATATAAATACTCTCACAGGAGCAAAGGATTTATGCGCCCTGTACATAATTTTCAAAGAATTCCTGTACAGCTTTAGATGATCCACTTTTGCACTTTACTTCCAAGGAGTTCACAGATAAAAAACAAACTAATTTTCAAATATATATATATTTATTCTTCTATTAGCAGAAAAAAAAACACAACTCCAAAATATACAATTGTATATGGAAACAACAAAACCTTTGACCCCTCTGAAATCCATTTTGATACAGAGACTGAGTACCGAATATGTAAGTAGAAAGAGCTATCATAAATATAAACAGTATGCACCTCCACTAGTGATGTGTCGGATGCAAACGACACACACACAGACTGTAGAAAAAGCTACAAGGCAGAATGATGGGATTGAGAGGTTCTACAAACAAGTCAGTGCATTCGTTGGGTGGTTTCAGAAAGTAACAAGTGTCTGCAAATGCAATGAAAACAGTTAGCTACAGCAATTTACTGATACTTGAAAATGTGATTTTTGTATTTTTTTGATGTATTGCATTATCTAAGAGGTATGTGTACACACACATACATATAATAAGCCAAACGACGCTAAATTTGGCTGAATTAGAAAATGTATAGGTGGTAAAATGAAGAGCCGTATGGGAGCCAAAGGAGCTGGCTCTACTTTGTGAGCTGAGGCGAATGATCTGGCTCACTAAAAAGAGCCATAATTCCCATCAGTAACCTTAACAAATGAGACTGCCAAAGCATCCAACCTCTTATGAAGGAACCCGCCAGCAGTGGCACTGCAAAGATCTGTATCACAGCATGTTTATGTCAGCCAGGAATGTGCATGTTTAGTCGACCAGAGTTAATGTTGTCCCCTTCACTAGTGGAGTGTCCAATATTCTTCTGGAAGGCCCAAAACATTGGTTATATGAGGTGTCATAGCCGAACCATGGTTACTGCCATATTACTCAATTACCCAGGTGTAAACAAGCATGATGACAGGTAGCGTCTTGTTGCACAGTTTGGAAGCATTTTGATCAAGAAAATGCAGCTCATGTTGTATGTAGGTTCTACTGGAGTTGCTTGCATATAGCCACTCAGTTGAATCTGTGGGTAACAAGCACAGGCATGAAGACATCAATCTGCCAGGAAGACATCTACTCTTACAGCACGGATGTGACACATGACACATTTTAGATAACTACAGTGGTGTGTTTGTGAGGCCTTACATGAATAAATGTGAAATAAAAATAGCAAAGAACCAGCATAAGAGGATTCAAAGTTCAGGACTGATAGCTTCTGGGCAATTTATGAGCACAACAGCAATGAAACCTAACAAAGTTCCTTGAAACTGACCAAAATATTTAAAGTTTTTAATGATAGAAATGTTTGTAATGCCAATTAGAATTTATCTTAAACTGCAGACTAAATGAGGCAACTTTTTACATGTTTTTTACATGTTTCAGATTTAACCCTGGGAGTCACCACTATTGTCCTTTAACTGGAAAACAACCTTTAGCACTCGTCAAACCTCCCTGAAAATGTGACTGCCCAATCAGCTTGCTGAACCGTACTATGACCTTTAGAAATGATTTAGGGGAATAAAGTCATCAGAATAAAATTACTTGATCATTTTTGTTGTATGTACAGTAAAATATGAAGCAGCTATGAGGATCCCCTCAGATGTCAAAACATAAATCGGTCTTTGTTTGCACAGGTGGCTGTCTCTTTATCGTCACCAACTGTGGCTCTCATTAACCCACTTTTATTTAACCCCCCAGCGCTGACACAGTGAAGGACAGAGGAAAAACACCACTTAAATGCTGACAGTCACATGCATGCTCATGCTATATGCTGGCATGCTGTCCTGGACATGTGTCTCCGGGGACGTGAACCCCTCACCCCACCCCCTCCTCAGGGACTAATTTGAGGGGCGGGACCATGTGTTTTGTTGCTTGTCAGAAACAATCAATCTTGGCCTGTTACATTAACAGCATGATGGCCTCTCATTGCTGTACCACATTTAGCTCTGTGGGGAGGAGGAGAGGAATAATATATTTACTCATTAGGGAATAAAATGTGGTTGAAAGTCCACAGAGGAGATCAAAAAACAAACATAGCAGATGTTTTCTTGTAGACACAAGAAATCAGCCTGAAACTGAAGTTCTTTGGTGTTCCCCCCTGAATGTAAATTTAAAGTGAAAAACAACTTTATTTAGAGCGCCCTGGGCCGCCCCCCGCCCCTCTCTTGTCCTGTGTCCCAGCCCACCCGTCCTCTCCCTGTTCTGTTTGGGCACTGGAGGTTGTCAGTCGGGGTTTATGTCCAGTTCAGTGGAGCTGAAAGAAGTCAGTTTCATGTCTTGTTATGGAACAAGACGTCTGTGCCTCTCAGGAGTGATGAGAAGTGGTCTGGGGGAGCTGGGTGTGCGGGGCAAGCAGGGAGCGGGACCGTCCCCTGGAGGCGACCAGCAGTGAGGAAGTCAAAGCGGCTTTTGTGTGGCTGCTGTCGGCTGCGTGTTTGGTAATTATCCCCCCTGCTCTCTATATGAGCGCAGACCCGGCTTTCCAGGAGAAATCCCAGCCCGAACAGACCCACGGAAGAGTGCACAACACACCATCAACACAGATTAACTTCTCACAGCGCTGCAGAGATGCCTGATTGGAGGAGACACAGCAAATACAGGAGAGCCTCTGGTGTGTGACGTGCCAGTGATGAGCAGATCTGCACAGTCAGGCTGTTTCAACTGTTGCAGGGATGAGATATAGACACCTGTAGAGCTGCAAAACCTGCAGAACAAACAGAAAGTTTTCTCTTTTTTGCTCCTATCAAGTTGAAGAAATATCCAAGTTTTTACTGAAGTGGCACCACTGTGTAAACAAAGTGTTGCATTGAACATCTTACCTAACTTAACGCGTCTGTGAGGAGTTTTTAGGCTTTTTAGAAACAGACTTAAATCATTACAACTGCCACTGTATGGTCTGCAAAATCAAAGATAGTCACAGAGATGAATTTTGCGTCTACACTGTGATCTTAAAGCCTGGAACTTCTGCTGCAAGGTAGGAGTTAAATCATCTTTTTTTTTTACAAGACACTTGAGATGGAAACAGACATAACTTTTTCTATGAAAAAGATTCCTACTGGTGTTTTATCTAATTGAAAAAAAGCACATGTTGTCTCTAAAAAACACCTCTAACACACAAACAGGACAAATTCAATATCAAAGTATGATGTAAGCTACTACTTCGTTCAAGGGAGTGCCAAAGTTGACACAATCAGAAAATTCATCAAAGGAGAGTAAGGGCCTATGTCCACCAATCACTTTTTTTGCTTTTGGGACCTCTTTTATGCAGTTTAAAGTTTTCAGAGTCTTATATCCTATATATGAATACACCTTCACTGTCAGCTGTATTTTCTTTCATAAATGTACACTCAGTGAGCTGATGAAACACCCCCATCGTCACAGTGAGTTTTCCATTACTGAACACTCAAATTTCAAGGAGGGGCAGGACTTCTGATATCAACATGTCAACAACCATGGTGGAGGACTGTGCACACTCCTTTTGTTGAGTGTCTTATTTTTAGGTCAAGAGCTGCTCCTGATACTATTACATGTTTTCTTTGTAAAACCTGTTTAATAGTGCTGTGCAAATATGCAGCAGATATGTCTGGTGTCTGATATATCCTATTGTCTCATTTACCAAATATCGATTTTTCAAACCAATTGATAATATGCAGTAAAATCTATGATAATGGAAAAGTAAAATCAACAGTTTTTCTAGTGAGATTGGCAGAGGTGATATCATAGAATAGGAGAAAGTTAGTACAACAAATATATATATATATATATATATATATATATATATATATATAAGGTTTGCAAGATGTGCTACATGAAAATAAAATACTGTGTAAATAAGACAAATGTAAAGGAAAGTCATACACTAAAGTAGCTAAACAGTTAAAAAAATTGTATAAATCGCAACATATTGTATTGCAACACTCACTGTATTGTAAAATGTTAAAAATCGCAATAATATCATATCTTGGCCCAAGTATTGTGATAATATTGTATTGTGGGGCCACTAGTGATTCCCACCCCTGGTGGGCACAGGCCCTCATAGTACAACAGAGAAATTGTCCACACATGTAAAGGTGCCCTTTCTGCCAAAATTTTCCTTGTGCGATTATACCCTTCTAATGGAATTTGTTAGATGTAGCATTATGTGTGCACATTTTAAAAACAGATGTACATAGCCCCAACGTGTTGTTAATTTTAACTAACTGTTGCAGCTGATGGCCATCTGAAAGGTTAAGAGAGGAAACTTCACCTACATAGAGCTTCTAAGAGCTCACAGACATTTGAAACTGAACCCATATACTCTCATCGAGCTTAAACCTCCTGGGAGGAACTTTCTGTTTGTGTCAGTTTTGGCGCCCCCTGTGGCACAGTAGTCTTTGCTCATCTTGTCATTGCATGTGTGGGTAGTGATCTTTAACAAAAATCTCACTTAGCTGACTCTTGACTGTCAAATGTGTTGTTTATTGTGAATATTCTATGTGGAAATGGTTAAAACAGGGTGGTTCCTCCAGGTGCTCAGCTGACACCTATCGATTTCACCAATTTCAAGCATTAATAATGCCTTTTGGAGTATTGCCAATCTAGTACCTGATGACCTTGTCTGCTTTTAGATGTCACAAAAAGGCATCTATACAGTTTTCAGTCTATTTCATAAACTTTTATACAAGTAACCTTGTCTTTCAAGCTAAATGACTGAGTTAGATGTCATCTTGACCATCCTCTTCCCCATTTCTCTTCATCTTTAGCTGCAGCACCTTTCTCTTGTCCCCCATTTTCATCTTGGAAATCTCCCCCAACCTCATCCTAAACACCATCCACCCCCAATGCCATCATCATACATAATACTGTCATCAGCATCTTCATCATCAGTATCGGTACTTACACTCAATGTGCTGCCATTTAATCATCACAACTGCCTCTCCATCATCATCCTACAGATCATACTTAGCATCACTGCCCAATGATCACCCTTGACATTACCATCAACAGGACCTTCATCATCTCCTCTGACCTCACTCTTACCATCATCATTTTTATCATCTTCATCGTGCAGTCTATACAACTGTGCAGAGGGAATAAAAAGCCCTTATAAATGTTTGACACTTTTGCGCATTTGAACAAAAACTCCTGGATAAATCGAGCTGTTAATGTATGGGAAGCATCCGATTACTCCTTTGAGACTCCTTCATTTTCACTCAGCCCGGGTCGGCCCCTTTCAAAGGCACAGAATGGGCCTGCCTTGATCTGCGTCAATTGTCATCCCGGGGCTCAGGGGCACTTCGGCGGCCAGTATAGCGGGCGAAGTCAGGGCTAATCCCCGCAGAAGGAGAGAATCACGGGAGAGGAGAAAAGCAACAATAACCAAGTCAAGCGTATAAAATGAAAGCGAAATCTCTATTATCAGTGGCCGCGATTCCCAGCACAGTGGTGAAAATCAGGGTTAGTTTGTGATTCGAGTCAGACGCGGAGGGAAGAATATGGGGGTCCCCGCAGGCTGGGAGACTCACACGACGAAAAGGGCAATATTCTGCAGAAAAGACGAAGAAGAAAGCCCCTCTCCCATCCCGACATAACCATTAAATGCAGTCTGACTTTATGTTGTATAGAGAGGGGCGAACAAGAAAGGAGGCACAGTTCTCCGATGAAAGAATGAGGTTTTTGGCGGATTAGGGACGGCCCGAAGGATGAAGAATAACTTCTGCATAACTTTACAGCTATTTTCTCTCCCCACGCCAAGAGCCAAGTTTAAGGCTAAAGCTGTCTGAGTTAACCCCTTTGTGAGGGTCCGGCCGTAGACTTTGCACAGGCAGGGACAGGACTCAGAACACAGAGTCAGGGAAATGATTTTTAAGTGACATTACAGGTGCAGGAATGAAATAATCATAACTTCAGGATTCACAAAGACATTCTTATGCAAAAACCCAATACTTTTTTTTTTTAAAGAAACTTGTTTGCCTTTTTACATTTAGAAACATAGTACCTGGCTGCCTCAGAGTTATAAGCTGACTGAATCAAACATAAATTGAGAAACATTTCAACTCATTTAAAACAAAAATGAGCAAACTTTGTTTTGTAGGATTTAAATCTTAATGAATGTTGTCTTGCATAGCTTTTAGTGGTAGTTACCTCCATTGCCTTAAGTATTTCCATTTATTAGAAATGGCCTGTTTTTTTCATTTTTAGTGTATTAGATAAACAATTTTCTGCAGATTTAATAGCATGTCTAATAATGATTTTAAACTGGGTGGCCAAAGCATTTGCAACAAGCAAGATTTTCCCTTTAACTTTCTGAATGACTTCAGTTTGGCACCAAAAAAGGACTGCTCGACGTACAAAAAACAAAACAAAAACAGAGGAGCCTATCAACAAAAACTCTGTTTAATGGAGCATTGTAATGTTTTTCATCATTTCAGAGCACCCAGATTTATAGTATCCCTTACGCAAGTGGTCCAAGCCCTGTGTTGGTAACCACTGGACTAAACTACAAAGCACTGATGTCTTTCCAGATTACAGACAACAAAATAGAGATCTCTATTTAAAAAATGCACCCAATATAGATGCCTTATAAATAACCACAATTATCGCGTACAATGAGTATGATTTGCAGGAATGTCTGCTTTTTTGACAGTCAAAATGGTATGATTACATTTTAAGGGTCAAAATCCAACATCCTGTGTCTTCTCTCTCCAAAAAAATCAATAAGTTTGTATTTATTTATTTATGTAGCTATCTTTACAGACCATTGTCTTCATTGCTGCATGGTTATGCTGTAGTCTAAATCAAGAGGAGCTCCTTGGACTCAATCTGCCTCAACCACTGAAGGGCTCTCATCATCATCATCATCACCATCATCCAGCCTAATTTATGGATGAAGGCTAATTAGTGATTTTGTCCTCTTGGTTTCTCTATCACATGGTAATGAAGGCATTTTCTGTCAGGGCCATCTCTACCAGCATATCTGCTCTGCTGATTAGGAGACATCCAAAGATTTGTCTTACTAATATACATTGACATTCACCTGAGAAGATAACCTACGTCTTATAATAATAATAATAATAATAATAATAATAATAGTAAACTTGACCTTTTAGAGTTGTATGATATTTTTTAAAAGTTTAAGTCTGACCACGTGGACATTTATAACATCACAAACGGATAAAAGCACACACACAAACACACACACACACACACACACACACACACACACACACACACACACACACACACACACACACACACACACACACACACAGAGGATCATGCCGGGTTTGGGTTGTAATCACGCCTTTTTGAGAGCCACACTAGAGAATCACGGAGGAATGGAGAACATCTGAACAATTAGATGAACTCTGGTCAGGAGAAGAAGAGTTAATGAGCTGCCGCTGCCACGTGCATAGAGAGGAAACACAGAGGCCAGAGTCCAGATTTACCGCTGGAGCAGCGCGCGGCCATCAGAATAGGCCACTAATGCCGCGCGCGCTCTCTCCCCTCTTATTTTCATTAGACGCTGATGACTGCGGAATTGATGCGGCCTGCGAGTTATCAAGAGCCACTAATTTCACATTAACGACCATTGACTGCGCTTGCTTGATTCGAAGGGGTTTTGGACAATTATCACAATCAGAACTGGAGCCCAAATCGTTTACCTTGACTCCGTAATTATTCGCCCCGAGCCGCGCGCACATTGCTAAATTGTATGGTGCAAAAAAACGGTAAATAATGAGGAGACCGAGAGGAGGCTATCCCTTACAACACGCGGCACACAGACAGACAGACAGAGAGATAGATAGATAGATGGATATGGATGCAGGGCCGGAGTCGAGGGATGGTCAGAGGTGCCCATGATCCCCCCTAAAATCGATTGAGCTACCTCAGTGATAACCCTGAAATCCATTTTTACAAATATATTTGATGTTTGTGAAATCAGCTGAAGATTATATTGATACCTTTTCATGGTCTACAAAAGCAAAGAAAACAATCAAAGACAAGATTAATGATGTTAATATTGTCAGGGCTCGACAGTGTGACCGTTTCACTCGCATTTGCAACTAAAAGTAGATGTGTGCAAATTGTAAAATGTATTTAGGGGCACATGTGCAGATAAAAAAAATCAGGCGAGGCAACAAATATTTTTCCCTGTAAATACCGCAGTGAAGTTAGTTTTAGGTTGGATATCTGACGGACATTCATGGCGGATCTACCGTGTTTTCTCACTCTCCGTAACCAGGAATAGCAACAGCAGTGCGGTTAAAGCTACTCTGCACCCTCGCTGTCAATGTTAGGTGTTGACTAAGGGACCATCAATAAATTACTGGTTGATGTTCTCAAAACAAGCTGTTTTCCTTCAATGGCTTCCATGTCAATTGACTTCAAATTGATTTCAAATAATAGTACTAAGATCAGACAATGAGACACACCTCTTTACTTCCCTAATTTGTCCTCTAAAAATGTTTGTGTGTTAAATTGAAAAGCAAATTTTGAACCTTTCCTTCAATAGCTTCCATGTCATGTGACCAGCTGACCTAAAATTGATTTCAAATAATATTACTTATGTTGAACAATAAGACACACATTATTTGATCAATTTTCAATTTTGTGCCTCTAAAGTTCTTTGTGTGCTCCTTACTTTTTAAACTTAGGAGCACATGTGCTTCTTGTGATAAAAGTTAGCAATGGGTGCAAGCGGGTAGCTGTCAGTTAAATTGCTGCAGAAACAGACATGTTTTTACAGTTTTTAAAACAAATATTTACAACATGTGACAAATTTGACCATCAAAAGTTTGAAGAATGAGATTATTCGTTGGAAGGGAATACTTGAGGACAATAAGCAAGGACTACTTTGACCACAGGAGGCAACAAAATTGACACAAATTTAATGTTCCTCACAGGAGCTTTAATGTGTATAACCTAGGCTAGTAAGAATGTATGGAAATGTCTGGGGTGCTTACTTAAGTGGCTGATGTTTCATGGGGTCAAAAGTTTACTCTTTGCTGAAGACATCCAAAGAAGGAAAAACGAATAAAAAACAAAACAGGATAGCAGTTATCCCTCCCTCCACCCAAACAGGGATTATATTCAAATATATAGATTAAACCATTATTTGATTGATTTAATCAGATTTTTAATGCGCTTAGTATATGGTAAAGTCATGCGAACCTCATAAAAGTGGGTGCAGCTCCATTCAAAAAAGTCTGGCTCTGCCCCAGACAGACAGAAAGGGAGATGGATAGATATGGAAATATGATTGTCTTTATGATTTAAATAGGCTAATATTAGCCTATATAAATAAAGAAATCTGAAAGATAATAGCCTAGTTTATGACTGGATGGATAATAGATGGATACATGCTTGAATTCACAAATAGACACAGACTACACATTTAAAAATAAAGGAAAACAGTCTTTGGCTGTTGACTATTCACGTTAAAGTTCAACAGTCAAGTTTAGTAAAACTTGACACATTAAAGACAATAACAAACTATCAGCAAGCAGGTAAAAATTAACAGAAACTGCACGTTCTCTGACTGATCATTCACAACAAAAATAATAGACAAAAAAACAGCATACTTACCAAGAAATATAGAGTTTAAATTTTACTTCATACATACACTTAACAAAAATCTTCTCACCGAAGTGAATGAGAAGCTGCAGTGACGCTGCTCTGTCCTCTGAGTGGGGAGTTCTCGCGATGTTTCAGGCGACTATCACATGATCGAGTTCGAGGATAACCAGGAAATCATGAGTTGTTTGGACTGAGAGTTGAGTAGTTGATGCATTAATTGCCGTTTTGACGATGTCTAACCCCAAAACTAGATTGTTTTTGGTTTTGTTTGCATTTAATACTTACTCGATTGTGTCCAGCGATGAAGTTCAGCTCAATATTTCAAGTTTAGCAGACAAACTAGGACAAAGCTCGTCTTCGGTTGCTGCCTCTTCAGCTGTCTCTCCTGTTTTTAAAGCCGCTGTGGACCCCGTCTTCTCCATCAACATGCTTTCTTCTTTTCCTGAAGACCTGGAGATCACTGACTACTGTAGTAACCTGCTTCATATCTTTGGAGAGCGGTATGTCACTTATGTGAACTGCTTGGTACCCGCAGCCCGACCCGTGAAAGTCTGCCAGAGCTGCTACTCAAGCTACGGCAGACTGAGGGAAACTTACTTAAACATCTCCTCAGACCAGGTAAGAGTGTAAACACTGATACGTTTTCTGTATCTAAACCCTAAATCCTAAACAGTGTGAGTGAATAAGTAGAACAGGCCGCGGAAGTCTCATGATCACGAGTCTTGTGGTGTGACCACTTTTAGGAAGCAAGAATTAATGATAACTCTCCATCTATACACGTCCATCTGCTACAGCTGAGTATCTGTCACATCAATATCGGATTATTCGCTATTTTAGGATGACTTTTGTCTTTGTATCCTCAGATGGGTCCAAGTAATGAGAGCTGCAGGGACATCCTTTTGCGCAGTGACCGTCTGATGCTGGTTCCTGAGCTTTACAGCAACTTAAAGGGCCTCTGGGACAAATCAAACTGTGACAGTAAGTCCCCTGGAGCTACATCTGGACAGAGTTCTCTGCCTATAAGAGAACATGTGTATTATATATGTCAACCTGTAGCCCCCGTAGCTCCAAAAGCAGTTAGGTGAGAGTGAGGTAAGATATTTCATATTGGGGATCACAACATCAAGGCAATCATAGTTATGTCTCTAACTAGTGTATCTGCATATTTCAAGATGTTGTGCATCCCTGCAAACCAACAGAATGAGTGTAAACATATCTTACCCTGTGTCTGAGGTAAGTTGACCATAGGAGCGGGGTAAGTTGAGCCGTATCCCTACTACTCCACCCCAGCCCTCCCTCACCTTCTCTCTGCCTAAATAACAGTCACTTCTTCACATTCATGTGTATTTTTATATATTATACGCTATTCAACTGGTGCAATAATTCTTTTCATTATTATTGGATATAACTGCTAAAAAGCTGTTTTGTAAAAAACATTTTAACATGAGAATGTCTTTCAGTGATTCAGAACATCCACAGCTGTATTTTTAAAAGGAAAAGAAACACATTTCAACAATCTGAACTGAAACTCTGATCCTATCATCAGACTCTTTTACTTACTCACTTGAGCCACTGACTCAACTTAGCCTAGAACTAAGATTATGACTTTATTAGTCACCTAAGCTAAAATGGTGGACTTTTATACTAGGTTTTTGACCTGATGTTGTAGCTCATAGATACCACAATTGATGTATAAAACAAATTTAAAATGATCTTTTTTGGTCCGAACACAATTCTAATAAAAATTACGACAGACTAAATTCACTTTCAAGAGTGAAAAATGTTTATTTGGAAATAAATGTCTAACCCCTTCACCCATGTGCTTCTAACCTTCACAGACTCCACGAATTGATGCCCATCTCCTAAATATTTGGTCACATGATCAATTTCTTTTACTATTTCCAAGCAACAGGGGGTGGCTCAACTTACCCTTTGGCTCAACTTACCCCACTATCCCCTACCTCTGTATGTGTGCAGGTGCAAACCACCAGATAATAGTGAAAGGGGCTTCAAAATATCCAGAGTAACGTCATCAAGCATGCTTTCTGGAACTCAGGCACCATAAAAGCAACATATAAACCAAAGGAGTCTCTCACAAATAATTCAGCATCCAAACAGTGTGGTTTAATTTCCTATAATTCAACTAATTCAATAATCTTATTATGTTATTTTGTTAGCTCCAGTATGTTCCTTCATCCACATTTTCACTGAAATGTTACACTAAGCCTGAGCTCACAAAACCTTACCTGACTTTTCACAAACAAATTCAATGAGACTTGATCATGTATGACTTGAAGACAGGTGATTAGTATTTAAGAAGCCAGATAATACTGTCATATGTCTGAGTTTGTTTATGCTTCAAAACTGATGGTTGTTTTATTCACCCCCCCGGCAGACTGCATCACTGAAGGATATGAAAGTCTTACCAATGACACGCTGTACTTCATGAACACTCTCAATCACACCCTCTCCTGTTTTGAGAAGTATTCACCGGTATGCCCTTGATTACTCAATTGCAGTCATCTGTTTTTAGATTGTGTAAGAAAGCTGAGTTCTGTTCCTTTCTCTATTTTTCTCTCACAGGGGAACCATACAGAGCTATGCAAGAGCTGTAAGACTGCATACAGTCAGCTGAACGAACTGTACAGCGGGATGGAGAGGAATAAGACAATGTGTATTGACATAGAGGATGCGGTATGTTTGTAATACACAGAATTGTTGATAGATAGGAGAGGAAAAAGCTGCTCCACCTAGAGGAATTAAGACATAAAAGGTGTAGCTTTTAGGTTGTTTACATAACATTGTCTAGAAATAATTGTTGACAAAGTTGTTAATTGGATTTATTTGTTTTACAAGACATTTACTAGCTGTTTTCAGCTGAACTGGCAGTTGAGCTTTTTTTTCACTTTACTTTCATCGGGTATAAACAAACGCAACAAAAACAAATGCATATGAGATACACTTGCATAAAGTAATGGGGTAGAGGTCTTGTGCATGAGCTGCAGAGTGGACAGCATTCCTGCAGTGAAATATACAAACTAAACTGCAGACTGAAGTCTCTGAGCACAGAGCAAAAAAAATTAAGGATAATCCATGTGATGAATATACACACATAGATGAAAAAGAACATCATTATAGACTACAGCAAAACACTTGTGGGGCTTATCTTTCAATCCTGTCATTAGCAGCATGTGGAGTCAAAGATCATATATTAGATCATTTAGTGCGCTAGACATAGGTGATTGCAGCAGATTGTATACCTTACTGATGATAACACACCGCATGAGAATGACAATTACACAGACTCCTCTGTGTAGTGTTATTATAAACCTTTACCTTAGCTTTCCAACTTCAACTCTTGGCTGTTATTTCCTCTAATCTGGGCATTCAGATCCATGTTTATTAATACTGAACATTAGCTTGATTGGTGGGACACCCTCATGTTGTTTCACATCAAGTTGTCAGTTTCAGCACATATGTAAAGTAATGACTTCAGAAGTTACAATAGTGTACAAATTTTTAAAATTTATTTCACTGGGTTTTCACTCTGCAAGTCGCATGCTGAAGAGGACTTAGAAAAAAAAACTTGGTGTGATGATATGTGATGTTGTTCCAGAAGTTTCTGAACACATCTTATGACTGTCTTCAGAATGTGCTTTTTTTTACTCTACATTTAATAGTATAAATTTATACACATCGTAAAATATGCACTAACCTATGTTACAGTATATTTGTACATTAAGAAATGTTCTTACATTAAGTATAGAAAAATAACAAACCATATGGTGTTATTCAAAGCAGCTCATTCCACCAGTGTAGGTTATAAGGTGTGGCTACACATGTTAAGAAAAGTTTTATTTTTAACTCGTGCTAAAATATAAAAAACAAACATGAAACTGAATGTGTTGCAGCTCTTGATGACAACTTGATTGGTCTGAATGCAAGTTTGGTTTTTAGGTGAATATTTTAACTGCTTTGATATAAATTAATGTTCTTTGCCTTGGTTTAATCCAGCCACAAAATGTGTCAGAATGCCCAATTTGACAAATGGAAAACTAGATACTCTTTGCAAGACGAATGGACAACTAGGCTTAAACAGTGTGATCATCAATGCAAGAAAAAGTGTGTTTTGGTGCAGAATTACTCTCCTGGATTCTCTCCTTTGCAACAACAAATGTGTCTGATTAAACACAGCACTTGAGGAGGGAGTTAAATTAATAGCAACCCCGTTCAATAATTGGGGTCAGAAGAAGTTTATGTTGCATTTGTCTGTTTGCCTGCAGATGAACATGACCCGCAGACTGTGGAGTAAGAAATTCAATTGTTCGTTCCCCCGCAAGGAGACGGTGCCTGTCATTGCCGTGTCCAGCTTCATGCTCTTTCTGCCCATCATCTTCTACTTGAGCAGCTTCCTTCACTCAGAACAAAAGAAACGCAAGCTCATACACCGTGAGTAACCAGCTTAATTCGCCTATTGTCACACACACAGATTTTTTGACGGGGTTTTGGGGTCTTTGTGGAGGGGGACGGAGGCTTGACTGACTGTGATATTTTGGATGGAGGAGTGGGGGCTCAAGGTTCTAAAGCATAGTGGGGTTGCCTTCTAAAAAACCTGTGGGTCATAGAGAGTTTGGAGGATTTATTTTTGTGTGTGTTGAAGTGTGATAGTTGGCTTTGGTTTAGTTGGTGGGTGAATCAGGATGGGGGGTGGGTAAATAGCTTCTGATGGTCAAGGGCAAATTGAGCCTCGTGCAGCAACAACTTTGACCAAGAACCACTCATTCCAACAGATATGTGGTTCCAGATTGAAGTCCCTGGTATTAGAGAGAGAAAAGAAAAAGCATCACTAGAGAATTAAAAATCTGACAGATAAATATAAGTTTGAAACTTTGATATGTCACAACAACAAGTGAAAAAAAGAGTCACACTCCAGAAATAATTGTTAATAGAGTATCAAAAATTCACATCTCTTGTGAGGAGCTTTTAAGTTGTTATACAACAGGCTCACATGAATCCCAACGCCTCTTTATAACAAGACCATCAGCAACAAGACATAACATTTATTTGGCTGGGTATTCAATGATGTGAAAAATAGTCCTCTGCAGTGGCAGTCTTTGTTTACATTTACATTCTGTGTTTAAACAGCAAAAAACTCTTGAATTCTTCAAAAACGAAGAAAGATAAGATAGTTTTGTTTAAAAAAAAAAAAAAAAAAAAAGAAACCTTAAACATGAATAGAAAAATGGAAGCAGCGAATAGATAAGATGGACAGCTTTCAGTACCGAGGTGCAAAAATCAACACAAACCAAAGTTTTCACTTTCAAGAGCTTTGACCAAAATTTTGACTGTATTTGATCTTTGGCTCAGAATTCTTCATGCAGGTGAATATCCAGAACTTTTTACAGGAATGAGATTTTTATTTTAGTTTCAATCGTAGTGATAAAAAAAGATTTAGGAAGACATTATTTTTCTCAATTTTGTGTTATTTTCTAGCGTTTGTGCACCAATTAAAATGCTTTCAAACATGAATAATCTTGTTAAATTTCACAACTCTCAGCTCTGTTCCCTCAGCACTGTTTACACAAACTGCAGCCTTTTTCGAAGCATTCATCAGTTACATGGACACTTTACTTGGAAGACTCAGCTGAAAGTGTAACAGGTCAAAACACTTCCAGGAGCACGAAGTACCAGAGCATCTGTGTCAGGACATCAGCTCTCAACCCCACCCCTGACTTTATTCACAAATGATCATTCTTTTCAACAACTTTTACTTTCTTTGTTTTTTATTTTTAACTATGAATGTCTTGGTTGAGGGTCAGCCCAAGAAATCGCTCACAATAAGTCTGTTTGTTTTTCAACTTTATAAGACTTATAAATGATAAATCTAAGGATTGGCTGTGGACTGCAGAGCTTCCCAGAAAATAAAATAAAATAGATAAAACTCCTCAATTGTGTCTGACAGTTTAGCATCACCTACTGGCTCACTAACCATTAATACACCTCTTTTTATCATCAGACTAAGAGCCTGAATTTCTATCAAAATCAATCTCACTGATAAGTGCTTTACAGTATTACATTAGTGTGTTTTTATTTTAGAATGATTATCACCATTGATAAATTGTATATTAAACTGTTTTTATATACACCATTAAAAGTCTCCTCACCTCAAAGTAGACCAGGGTAGGAGGCCATATGTTGCATTAAAGTGCTACTACATGCTAACAGCTCAGTCTTGCTACACCTCCATGGTGTCGTCAGACTCAAATATGTGACTTGCAGAATAATGTGAATGCTCTGTGTCTTTGCAGCCAAACGGGTCAAGTCATACTCCAATATAAACATCCAGGACAAGCAGAGCTGAGGAGGGGAGAGGTGATGAAGGAAACAGAGGGTGGCCTCTTTTTTTTCTTTTTGAAGTTTTGACCCTACAGAAGAATCGACTCCTGACCATTTTGTGCCTGAGGTTTGATTGACTTCACTGAATGTAGAAGACTCGGCTGCAGCTTTTCCTGTTCGATTCCTTTCAGGAAGCCGTGATACCAATCAGTATTAAAAGACTCCAAGGATCTGGATGAATGAAAAGGAAAGTAAAATGCTCCAATTTTAAATTCTTACTTTCACATCCCTTAAACCTTAAAAAAACTGATAATTTATTGAAAGATGTTAAAACTGATTTTCAGAGATTTCTAGCACAAACACACCTCCTCCTTGTGTTGTTCTTTATCAGCGTTGTTTTGTGAAATGTGGATCTCCATACAGCGGACCAAAAGTACTATATATTGTGAACAACTAATCAGGTATTGGTTCATATTTCTTCACCGTTTGCTTCTAAATCCTCACACAAATCCCAGCCTTACTGCCTTTACTCATTAACAATCACAGTCTTCATCCTACAGTCTAAGTCACACAGCCGTCAAGAGAAAGAGTGAGTGAGCCTGAGTGTGTGTGCGCGTGTGTTCTATTTATGGGTTGAGAAATGTTTTTTTCTGTCTCTAATGTACAAATGTCCCAAAAAGAGCTGCAAAAAGGAAGCACTTGATGTCCATTAGCGGTGACATGTATCTGCTGTAAGAAGACGACAGGGGGTAGGAGGTAGGGGGTGGGGATGGTGTAAATAAAAACATAACACATATACTGTAAGAGCACTCCAAAGTAGCACACTGTGATGTTACCTGTTAGTCCTCTTTTTCCCTGTGGTTGCATTAAGCTTTGAATGTGCTTTGTTGTGGTTTTCCTCTGATGTTTAACTTAATTTGTTAAGGGTTTCTGACCGCTCATCATGCTGATGTCTCCTCTATTATGAATTATGAAGTGATGAGTAAGCCTAATAGAAATGCATTTGCTGGAAAGGCATTTTAAAACTAACTCTGAATTCATAAATAAAGGTTTTTGTCAGAGACAGCCTGTAGATGCATTTGTTGTTATTTAACCAATTTTTGCTAATCCTCAATTTGGATAACATGTTCCTTTGACTCCAGAGCTCCACTGTTAACATTTTACACGCATTAATTTACTTATACATCATTAATCTTTGAATGTTGTACCTTTTGAGGTGAGCTTTAATGCCCCTGGGGAATTTGCTGCAGTCAAAGAGCATTAAAACTAAGCCATCAGAACAGGACTAAAAAACTGGAATCCACAATTTGTGATGTTCTTCAAGATGCAAGTTAGGAATTAAACTGTTAAAATGATAACGTTAGACAAATATTGATCATCTACAACTGAAATAATGCTTTAATGACAATATCTCTGTTTCACTGAAATGTAGGATTAAATATGATTCTTAAAGAGCCAGAGCAACTGCTTTTGCTTTTGGTGCTTTAAGTATTTATTAAATGTTTGAACCCCTTTTTGTGAGTAATTGTGTTGGTGCTTATGGGTACATGTGGATTTTTATCATTATCTTTTATTTAACCAGGTTAGTCCTTCTGTGATTAAAAATATCTTTCAACAGAGACCCAGTCAAGACACAGACCTACACAGGGAACCACAGCACAGTCTACCAGCATTGAAACAAACAATAAAAGAACCTATCTTACAGTCAATTGTGCACCCAGGTAAGCCAAAAACAATTGATAAATAATCAATTTTTTTTTTTTCATTTTAGATTCAAAAACACTGAAAGGCACCAGCTCCTCGTGTTTCAGGTCCTTCTGTAATAAACATTGTCTCACTTTATGTATTAGCTTTTTGGACAGAGAGAATAAAAAAGTTAAGGGTCAAACACTTTTCTGTGTGAGAAGAACACACAGACAGTGAGGTAGCAGACCACAAACTTCCTCACAAATGGAGGCGTTTTGACGTATCAGCCTAATATAGATAGTGTCTCACTCAACAGCAGCACGGCTTGCAGTTGTGTCTATAATGAGTACATGTTGTATTAAAGCTGTTTCTTCACACAGGAATGGCCCTTGTTCTCAGGTTACGTGGCCTTGTGTTGATCTTGCAACAAGGTTTTTCCCTCCGTCATTAGCAGCTAATCTAAATGTGGGATAAAGATACTTGGCCGAATAATCGCAGCAACACATCCGTTAAACTCCTTTGGCTTTTTGGTCTTGTGGAGCGCAGCCACTGCTGGCCATCAGCAGCTTTAAGAGCATTACGGAAATGCCGAGTCATATGATCCGGTTGCGGCCAGCAGCAGAGCCGCTAAAAACACGGCCTTTTGTCATCCGCGCTCGCGCGCACTGAAGGGTGTTGAGCGGCTCGTGCGCTCAAGAATGACAGCTTTGATTCCCGTTAAGCCTCGTTGCTTTTCTGAGGCACACCGGGGCCTTAAGCGGGGCTGAAAGTCAGAGAAAAAAGCCTCAAGAGAAGTGGACCTGAGGCCGCCACGTGAACCAGAGGAACGATGGAAAAACTGCAGTTCTTCCTGATCCCCCGAGTTATAGGCAGAGCTGGAAGTGCCATTAAGATATTACACTTATCATATTCGAGTTAAAAAGTACTACACTCTATATCAAGTCTAAACACAAACAATTTTGCTGAGGTGAGAGGCTTCTGGCTACAAGCCACTCTTTATGGAGACCGTCTACATGCTTGCTGTATCTGAACTGTATATTAAATCACTGCAACATGGTTGTAGATGAATGCAAACACGATGAGTCGATTAATCGTTTGCCAGTTAATGGCATTTGACCAAATCTGCCTCATATCAACATCCCTATAAATGGCCAAATGAAAAATGCATTTGACAGCATATAAGACTGACTGGCGTTTGATATAAATGATGTTGTAATGAGAAGAATAATGCAGTTTTAGAATTATTAGGTTAATATTTTTCTTGTTTATTTTTTACTTTCTCCCTATTTCAGATGGCTGGGCAAAGATTCACAAGTCACTTGCCAAGTCAAATACTGCTCTATTTATATCAATATTCGTATATATATATATTTTTTCATTTATTAGCTTTGATTAGCATATATATATATGTGTATATATATATACACACACACACACAAGCTGTGCATGTATGAAGATAGTTACAACTGATCAGAGGTTTTTATTGCTGATACAGATAGAGGGACAGATACTAATGCCGATTATGAGAGAGCATGTTGGCCAATATATGATGCTGATATCAGATTGTAAGATTTTTGTGAACATATATTTTTTTATTTTGAACATATACAATAGTTTAAAAAGTATAGATGAGAAACAAATAAGCTAAACTGTAGTGATTATTTTATTAAAAACTAATATAAATAAATGGATTTTCAATGAATCACTGGAAAGACACAAATGTTGGGTTGGGCTGATATTGCTGTCAGTAATACAAATCCCATTACATTACAATATAAAAACACAAGTTGATGACTGTTTCGGATGTGATTTGCTGTTGATGGAAAGATGTGTTATTTTACTAGGTAAGATAGTCAGCCTTGTGAAGACTGATGCTCATCAATGCTGATTATGTCAAAATATCATTAATCGGTCCAATTTGTCCATCCCTATTGAAAATAGCAAAATACACATTTCCATGCATAGTGCAGAGATGTGCTTTTTAATTCTCTTGCACTTTAAATTTTAAATATGTGATATTGCACCCATGTTTGCACGCCAGTTTTGCAAGAGGAAGAGGTGTGGTGGGGGACCTGAAAACAAAGTAAGACAGAGATTTTGTTTCCTTCTACAGAAATATATCCTGGAAACTGCGAAAGAAAACCCAGTATCCATCTTAATACTCAAGGGAGTACATTTTGCACTTACGCAAGTGCCATTTCAGTCACTGTGAGACATTTTCAAGTTGCCTGTATGAAAATTAATGTAAGATTTAAACTAATAAGCGACACCATGATTACCATGACATTTCTCTAACAATGACGTTACATAAAGATAGCATATTACATAAAGATATACACTAAAACATGCCAGCATTGCAAAAAATTAAAATCTAAGCAAATGCTAATATCTTATTACCCTTGATCTAAGCCACACTGACCAAACATGGATCTTACTTTCACCTAGTACAAGCCTATCATGAAGACCCAAATGACTGCTTAATTAAGGCCTTAATAACTTTATTTCTGAATAAGGTTTTTTTTTAACTTTAGTATGACATGCTTCTAGAAACTTGTCCAAAAATGTTGCTTTCTGCAGTGGCAGCTGTTTTTACTTACCACATTCAATGAGGGATATTTTGACCGGAAATGAGATGAATACACTTGACAAAATGAACATTTTTGCAGCGAGGAAGCATCCTCGTGTTTTATTTTACTGCTGAGCAGAGGTCAGCAAGTCTTCAGCTAATTTATTTTCTTTTTGTAAAAATGCATTTTATTAGCATAAAGATAGCCCATTGGAAGCAAAAGGCACACACTCTTTGATGCTTATTCAGGGTTTCCTCAGGAAAGAATAAAGTAACTGATGAGAAAATTGCAGTACAAAGTAGCACCATGCAGAACTCAAATACCTCTTAACTGTAGCTACTTATTCTATCACTGACTGTTCACTGACCTTCCATATTTTGCTACACATTAATGACTATAATAACATATTCAGATGATAAGTGTTGGTCATAATAGTAATCAATTATCTAAAAGCTCCAGTGGTGGTGATGCAGCTGTCACATGTTATGCGCTTTCTTCTTTCTGCACATTAAAATCAATGCACTGCTTAAATAATCATATCAATACAAGCTCATTTTGGGTAAAACTGATACTTCAGTTGAGCAGCTAGAGGCCAAAAATGTGCAGGGTGAGTAATTTTAATGTTTTTAATCCAAAAACAGATTTGTAGTTTTCTCTCCTTTGGTCCCTTAAAAGGTTGGCAAGCAAAGAATTAAATATCTGGTTTATTTTCAATTTGATACTGTGTTAAGAAATAAATATGGGATGATGAGAGTTTCCCTCCACTGCAAAAAGAGCTTTCCTTCCTCTTCATAATGTATATTCTTTGCACAGCCACGGTATGTGTGTTTGTTTTGGTAAGTTGAAAAGAATAATGGGGGCACTTTATATTTTTCCTAACTGACCTGACTACAGTCAGTAAAAACCCCTGCAGTCCAGCAGTAATAAGGGCCAAATGCCATGTATAATTACTGTAGACCTAATCCACTCACAAAGAGCTTTGACAGTCTAAAATGACTTGGGCCATAATTCTTCTGTGAGCGTGTCAGTTTATGTGGTAGAAATTAATATGATTTTGTAAAGCGACTCCCGTCCCGTCCTGTGCTGGACTGCCTGCTCCACTTCTCTGCTGGATTAACAAGGTGGAAAAATGTGCTGAGGTCTGTGTTAAAAACAATGAAAATCTCAGTCATTGTGAGCAGACTTTGCACCAAAAACACAAAATGACAAAAGACATAATGACATTAGCCTTCAACCTCATTTAGCCTGCCCTCTGAGTACTGTATTATCCAGTTTAACTGGGCACTTAAACTGTTTCTACACATTTCCACGGGGGTGTTTTTTCCTCTGTATTCATGTGTGAATGCACAGGATTTTGTACATTAAGAATAAGAATAAGAAGAACTTTATTTATCCCTGAAGGGAAATTCAATATTTATGTATTACACTTCTTTATGTATTGATTGAATTTTGTTGCAAAGTTGCAATCCAAATCCTAGACTCCTCCAGTTCTAATAAATGCAACTTTTTCTTCATTTCTTGAAGGTAGAGTGAAAAGTGAAATGCAAGCCAAAACTCACTTAAAAAGATGAGAGTTTGAATGAAATACGATCAATTCTGGGTGGAATAACTTGACAAAAATGGAGAAATACCTTCACACGAATGCAGACAATTATCTGAAATCAAAAGAGCAACTCTTTCCTCCATCCTGAGCTCTGAGCTGCTGTAATGTGCGAGAGAGTTAGTTGACTTCTTTAAAGCTGAGCGGGTCACAGAGCAGGAATGTTGAAGAACAACCCTGATATTTGAGAGGCTGAATGTTCACACAGACGTTTCTTCTTCTGTGAAATACAGTCAGAAGGGTCTCCTTTGCAGGGACCCTGAAATCAATTTATTTTCTGCAACAATTATTCAGCCAACGTATGAGAGATTTTTATTTTTCCTTTGCTGTAAAAGCCTCTTTGTCTATGTTCATGTGTGCCTTCCTCCTGTCCCTCACTCCCTCTGAATAATATTTAGAGGTTTAGAGGTAACATGCTGATCCTGTTTGCAGTGGTTGCTCCTGCAGATGACAAAAACATACTTTTTCACAAGTAACCTTGAGGCAAGGCTGAAACGTTTCATACTTGATGGAAGAGTAAGGGGGATGCTCTTCATGTTGTTTCTGAATCTGGCCTTCAGTTTTTCATTTATTACATTTAATTCTTCTTAAATGACTGCTTTGTTCTTCAACAAGGTCCTGACCTCCTCCAGACAAAATGCCACTGAAATTTCTGCTGTCCTCCAAAATCATTCGTCTTTTTCTTCCTTTCTTTTTTTCTTTAACAGAGCATCCCCCTGAATGTCTCCTCAGTTATTAAGAAACTGTTAGTTAAGACTTAAGTAGTTATGCAACCCCCCACCACCAACAGCACTCTAATCTGTCAGTTAGTTAGGCTCAGATTATGCACCTCTCAACCCTGCAGCGATGAATATGATGCTTTGTTGAACAGGGAGTAAACATATGCCCTTCTGCACACACACACACACACCCGCTCCAAGAGCATATGCAGAGTGAATGAGGCTTATTATACACCTGTGAGAGGGGTCAAAGTCTGTCAATCCCTGGCTTATGGTATTATGATAGATTATAGAATCACTCTCTAATGGCAGTCATTCAGTTTGTAATCTCAGCAAGCTTGATGCAAAAGCACTCAGCGTTCTAGCTAAGGGCCTGTCGAAAAAAAGGCCTCCTCCTTTATTCATCGCTTTACTTCCCCCCTCTCACAAAAGGTCTTATGACAAGTCAGCTGTTGGTGACATCACAGATGCTGGATCAGATGTCAGAAACCTTTGCTGGCTGACTTACATCTATTGTGGATCAACAGCAAGCAGGGCCACTTGAGGCCAAAAGAGCGGCAAGGTGCCCACAGGAGGGAGAGGAGAGGGAGAGGGGGAGCGTGAGGGCCAGGGTGAGCTCTGCCAACATGCAGGGACAGGAGAGGTCGTGGGGGGCACCCCTAAGGGCAGAAACATCTGACCCGTGTCTGTGTTTGTCTGTGCGAGCAACTGAGGGAGCCCATCTTGCCATCAGCTTGAGGAGACGTTAATCATCAGTGAGGAGAGTGTGTGTGTGGTGGTTTGAATACGTGATGAAGACTTTTCTGTTTTTAGAAAGACACAAGCATGTCTCATAAATCTGTTCAAGTCTAACGAGTGCCTGCTATCAAAAATAAAACCATTCAAGAAGATTAGTTTGTGAAACCTGAGGAGAGTTTTGATCACAACACATTGGTGCCACCTAAAGTCAGCACCTGAATACAACATTGAAGGGATACAAAGATCTCTCTTTCTCTGGTTCAGTCTGCACACACTTTAGTCAGCTGTGATGGCAACTCAATTATTATGTTTGAAGCTAGTTTGCTTACACAATTTATCAATACTTTTTCTTTATTTCTTAATACGAACTCTTTTCTAAGACTTGTTACAAACCCTCTGTCTATCGGTTTCTGTGTTTTTATCAAGCATATCTTTTTTGCAGGGGGTAAACTCACTTTGCAAAATATATATATATATATTTTTTTAAACATTTATCTTGGTTTTGAATTTTTTTTAGCATCTTTTCCAATAAAAAAATGGGACAAAGTCCATGGTGGTCATCTACTAGGTCTAACTTGCCACTCTCTTCTGCTGTTGGCTGGAAAATTCCATATATGACTTCATGATAATGTTATCTTTGTTCAGTTTCCTTTTATTTAGGTCATCTTTAGACTCATATCTCTGTGTATAGCCCAAATGTCAAGCTGCTAATGTAGCCTTGATCCTTTTTCTTTCACCCGAGTGCTGCTTAAGAGTATTTAGCCTAATTATTAAACAACTGTCAAAAGATTTATATTAATCTTCATCAAAAGAATTTTTTTCTTTTTACTTTGTTTCTTTTATTTATTTATTTATTTTTTGTAGGACGACAAAAATGGAAAGACAACATCAGAGCCACCAGACAATCCAAAACCCACCCTAAAGTGATATTCAAGCAGTCACTCAGACAGCCACAAGATGGCAGCACAGAGCCACCACAGACTATTTGGGTTTTACTCTGTGCTGCTCTTCATGCTGTGTAGAATCACTTACTGGCTATATGCACTGCTCCATTACTTTCTGAATTTAAGGCAGCTCCTTTATTTCCTTTCTTATATTATTGGATAAACTGATTAATCCAGGTGTGTCTGAGTGGTCACAATGATCAGTCATACCTGGATTAATCAGGTAGTCCAATATTGTAAGACAGGAAATAAAAGAGCTGCCTTAAGTTCAGGAAGTAGTGGAACTGGGCATTAGAGCCCATTAGGTTGTTTAGCACGTTAAGGCTTGCATGTACACCTTGACTGACATATGTCATCCAAGGAGTCACGATGCAGAGTCCAAATATGAAAAATGGGTAACTTATGTCAGTCAAAAAAGTTTATTAAAAAAGTTGTTGAAAAATCGCGAGACTTGCGAATCGGGAGTAGTGAAAATGACCGTCAATCAAAAATAACAAAAAATAATTCCGAATCCTTGTTGTCGTTTATTTCTCTTTATTTAACGCTCTGCAAACCAACCTTGGAGATCCGAGCTTGTGGTTGGCACTTGAAAGCAGCACTGGTCGCTCTGTCGTCATAGCAACGTTCATCAAACAGAGCAGCCACACTTCGTCCACACAGTATTAAAATATTTGGGTGTGAAGGTTTCAAACTTCAAACTGTGAACATGGAAGAGTTTGGTAAGGATCCAGAGGAGGCGCCTGGACCTGAAAATCAGCAGGAAAGGTAAGTATTTAACGTTAATTTTTGTGATTTTAGCATTAGCAATTATGATAGTATACGGATTTGTCTCCTTTGTAGTCAGCTAACTTAGTGTTTATCTCTAGGTCCTCCTTACAGAGTGGTGAGGCAGATGAGGAGGTCCATGAGGACGTGAACGAGGAGCCCCACAACCAGCAGCCTGAAGATAAGAAGGTGGAGGAGAGTGAAAAGGTTTGACCTTAAGGTTTCAGTAAGCAATCTACCTTAAATTTAACACTTCTAGGGGCCTCTTTGTTTTTGGTTTGGGACTAATAAACAGAATTAGTAAGAATAGATCAGTGAAACCAATAAGAACTTAAAGCTCCTGTCAGCCTTCAGACTGACATGAATGCTGATACCCTTTAATGGCTTCAAAACCAGACCACTACAAGCAGAATTTGTAACAGCGATGTAGTTTTTATAGTAATTTAATACATACCATTAGTTAGCACACACACAAACATAAATTCACCAGGAGTCATATTTGAGATATTTCAAATTAGCAAGCGTAGGCTTTCAGTCAGAAAGGGGGACAAGTATAAAAGAAGAAGTATTAAAGACTGGTAGATCTGTCAAAAATAGCTACATGTCCAGAGCCGGCCCAAGGCATAAGCAAACTAAGCGCCTGTGTAGGGCCCCGCCGCCAGTAGGGGGCCCCCAAAACAATAAAAAATAAAATAAAATAAATAAATAAATAATGATGATAATAATAATAATAACAATAATAATATTTTTTTTGCATGAATGAGTGATGCTTTCTGTATGATCAAATATATATTATTGTAAAAATAAAATAAAGTAAAAACATTTTAGTGCTGCTGCTGATGTAGGCCTATGATTCTCACCACTGAAATGTCAAAGCTCCACAACTGTTATGTGCTTCCTGCTGTGCAATGTGCACAGAGCATCCAAAGTGCAGGTAGTTGTGGGGCAAAAAAATGTTGCAAAAAAGGACATATCCTTCAGGAGCAGAGAAAAGAAAGAGGAAGAAGAGAAAAATCGCCAAGATAAAGGTATGTTTGCATAGATTTGTGAAGGTGTGTGAATGATCAACAATCAATATTATTGGCAGAAATAGAGGGCCCCTATAACAAGTTTTGCATAGGACCCCATTGAGGCTTGGGCCGGCTCTGTACATATTATAGTGAAATCATGGGCTGCTGTTTTTCTCTGGTGCAGGTTCCTGAAATATTCCTTGACTCACATTTACAGAGGTGTTTGAAAATGTTTAAAAACGGCCCCTCCTTGTGTTAGATGGTGCTTTCTCAGAGGATCCTCACCCTGCAGAGAGAACTGCCAGAGCAAATAAGAAACATCCAAACTGCAGCCGATGCAAAAGAGTCAATGCGAAGAACAGAGCAGGAGAAAGCTTGCAGACTCAGGTTGATATTTTTCCTCTGCTCTCCTTACTTCCTCTTTTCAAGTTTCATCTTGTATCATTTTATTCATGGCTAAATTTACTTAACGTCCTTATCTTTGCCCGTTTGTTTTCCTCCCCTCCTGTTTGCCACGCTCCTGTTTGGGCTTTCCCTTTGGTAGATTGGAGCTGCTGGAGAATGATGTGAAATCCAGCCAGGAAAAATTTGGAGAGATCATCGGAGAGTGGTCAACAGCCAATCAGAAAATAACCCCCCAGGAGCTGCAGGAGCTGCTGAACAACCAGCAGAAACTCTCTTCTGCTCTCTTAGATGACAAAAAAAGAGTCATAAATGAGCTGCAGCAGGTACATTTATCTATCTATCTATCTATCTATCTATCTATCTATCTATCTATCTATCTATCTATCTATCTATCTATCTATCTATCTATCTATCTATCTATCTATCTATCTATCTATCTATCTATCTATCTATCTAAGCTTTTATGATTGTCTGAAATGTTATCAGGAGCTGAAGGTTGGAGATGATCGCTATGTGAAGGACCTGAGGAAACACGCAGAGGAGCTGGGCCTGATGATGGAGCGTGTGGAGGACCAAATCAAAACCCTGAAAATGGCTTACAGGGAGGAGCTGGCTCACATTCAGGTTGAAAACTAATGCTTGACTTTTGTTTTTTGGTTGACACTAGTCAGAGGGAATCTGCCCATCAGAGTTAACTGTAACCATTTCTCTGGTTATCTTACATGTCTTGAAGCACCACTAATACCTTTTTTTACATAAGCCTAGCTCTTTGGTTCTCGGCCACACACCTGCAGAAGTCTCATCCCTGTCATGGATTTAGACTGCCTGTCTTATTTATGCTACTGTTGTTGCTGTCCATTAATGGTGTCGCTTCTGTTTTTGGCAGAGAATTAATCAGCAGGAGAGTGAAGTCTTGCTTACAACGGACAAGGCAGAATGGGAGCAACGTTTGAAGGCACTGTGGGACAAAGAGGTCGGGATCTCTGAGGAAACTAAAACAACAAGATCATCCACCTCTGTATAACATGATACAACATCTGATTCTCTGTTTTCAGCTGGACAGGCTGATGCAGAGGCAGGAGAAGGTGGAGGAGTACAACGAAAAAGTTGAAGATGTAGTATTGGAGACCAGGGACCAGTTCAACGATAAGCAGTTGGGGCATAATGAAAAATTAATGGTCAGAGCAAATACCATTTTGTACCAACATCATTTTACCCATCAGCTCTTTTGTTCTATGACGTATATTCGATGAAACAGCTCTCCTCACTCAGAAAAGTCTGACCACTGTCTACTTAAAAAAGTTAAGACAACAAATGACACTTTATATAATTAAATAGATTTTAATAACTTCAACTTTTTTCAAAAATGATTGATTTAATTAAGTCAATTTAAACAATTTGGCACAACTTGTCTGGGGTGGAGGTGTACGCCGATAAAAACAAATAGTTTCCACTGAGTAGCGTTTATTAATTTTTTTCAACATTGTTGACTTAACTGATAAAATATAATTAAATTCTACTCAGCGATTTTCAGCTGATATTATTCAAACAAAAATAAATCAATTCACTTGATAAATGTTTCAAATTGGTTTAGATCAACATAATGATATACCAAACTGCACAGTCATTTTTTAAATGTATACGTTACTGGTATTTATTTTGTAAATATTAATTTAGCCTAGTCACACTTTTTAGAGTGCTTATAGAAACAACGTTCATGAATAAACCTTAAAGATTAGACAAAAGAGCCCAGTTCTAAGAGGTTCTGTTGTTCCCTCCGCAGGCTATGGTGAGAGAGCGTAAACAGCTTGAAGCCGCAAGCATGTCAACACAGAGAATACTGACTGTAATACCTAAGCCTGATGGTCCAGACAACCTGATCCAGAGGAAACTAAGACTTGTCAGGTAGAACAGACACCAAACACACAATTCCTGTTAACATCTGGTGTGAGTTTGCCCTCCTGGATGATGGATCAGTGGTGGACAGCCTTGAAGTACAGGTGTGTGTAGCTATACTTGACTTTGTGTTACTCTTTTGTGTTTCAGAAAAGAGATGTTAAACCTCAAGGCTCAGTATAGCAGCCAACAGAAATGTATCACGCAGATGAAGCGGCAGTTGACTGATCGGCGCAATCGCATTGTCCAGCAGCATGGACACACACAGAAGAAAATACAGTGAGTCAGACTCACTCTTTAATAATACTTGTCCAAGTGATGATGTGAGGTTTCTTATTTTTGACACATGAATCGTCCGCTCTTCTGCAGGCACTTTGCAGTCGCTGATGTTAAGAAATTTGAACAGATGTGGTTGATGATTGAAGATGAGGTGAAGCAACTAGTGGAGAGGGTTTTGGTTTTAGACTCAATAATCTACAAACAACATCTCGGCTTGGCTTGGGAGCGACCTCACATGGCGTTCATGGGGCGAAGCGGTCTCATCCAGCCTCAAAAGCAGACACAGAGCCCCACCCACCAGGCTGTCACTCAGGTGATCCGCACTCAGGATTTACAGGGTAGTCAGAGGATGACGGATGCCTCAGTTGGGCCAATGCTGAAGACTGATGCCGAGAGCGTGACTACGGAGGTGCACAAGGCAGAGAGTGAAGGTGGTGCAGAGGTAGAGGAGAGGAAGTTATCCAATGAGGCGTTGAAGACAGTGATGGAGCTGCTGTGTGATGAGTTGGTGAGAAAACAAGTTTCAACATTCATGTCTATGAATTTCCCTTTTTTATTTAAATACCTCTTTATTCACTGTTCACTGCAGAGGAGGTAGTAGCTGCATGCTGGTCCTCGTTGCACCAAATGACCTTTTATGTGCTCAAACTAGGAGCTGTGGTCAAAAGTCAAAAGTAACCAAATAAGGACCCAGCAATGGACCCTGACATGATGTGAATTTGCCCTTTTCCTCCTCTCCACCTTTTTTTTTTCTTCTTAAAATTATATAATCATTTATACATTCTGTATTATTTAGTTATCCATTTCTCTTTTCTTATATTTATTTACTTATTTATTTATCTTTGTATGTCTATTTGTTTATCCTGTGTGTTTTCTTTATTACTACAATGTGTAATGGGTATTTGCTATATATCTGCTGCATATGCAGCAATACCTAGGCATAATATTTTTATACATATATATATATATATATTTATTTATTTATTTATTATTATTTTTTTCTTTTCTACACCACTGATCTTGTCTCAGATACTGTTAAAAGTTGAAGGAAAAAAATCCAAATAAAAAGTTACAAAAAAATAAAATAAAAAGCAAACAGTTCTCAAGGTTTCTTGCCTGTGTTAATGTGCCCGATGGCTGATGGAATAAAACTATTTTTTTACCGGTTGGTTTTACAGGCTGGTACCTAAAGCCTCCTGCCTGATGGTAGCAGCTGAAACTCAGCATAGAGAGGGATGGAACCATCATTTAAGATGGAGCCAACTATTCTCTGTAACTGCTTAGTATACAGGGATGGTGGGTAAAGTTGGGCCTCTCCAATCAGCCTGCTCGCCCATTCCACTAATCGGTTTAGGCAGTTTTTGTTTTGAAGAGACAAGTTTCTTCCATATGGGCTTTGTGTTTTTGTTTAACACTTTCAGCAGGCTGGAGATGATTGAGTCTGTCAGAGTGTTTCATGACAGCACACAATAGTTTAGGAAGCGTACAAAACTCAAACGGCTTATTCTAACCAACCTTCAGCAATGATTGCGTAGTTATCAGGTTGCCAAAAGAAATACAACCATCGAAATCTGGACAACCAAATCAAACCAAAAGCTCCATTTTTTTCTTTTACAGGGCTTCCTGTTTGAGGAGAAATTCCTGAGTCAGCTGGCCCCCCTGGAGGAAGAGGAGCAGGCTGTGATGAAGCTGAGCTCCCTCTTCTCTGTGAGTCAATGTTTGCAGTGCTTCAGTGTACTTTTGGCCCTAATAAGCAAACCCCAAACTGTCACCAATGTTGTTTTCTCCTCCAGGCTTTTGGCATCAGCAAGAGAGAGGTTCCCAGATTGGCTCAGGTCTTATTAAAGCATAAAAACCAGAAGAGATTGCAGACTGAGGTGAGAAGGGACACGGATGACGGGTGCAGTGGGCAATCATTGTTTCAGCATTTTCCTTAGAGATTTGTTTGCCTGCAGGATGTTTGTGTGGAGACAGGTAATTCCAGTGACAAGGCAGAAGACGCAGGGGCCAGCTGTATGAGCCATGTGACCTCTGAACACATGGATCTCAACCATTTGTTGCCGGCACTGAAGAGTTTCCTGGAGCAGCACATGAGGTCCAGGTAAGACCACGTTTCCATGCTAACATAGGCAGGAATGTGTAATTTTGAAGAGAAAATGAAGGTAAAGAAACGTTTATTTTTCTCTTTAAAGGGAGGTGCCAGCCAGTCAGAATCTCAGTTTCCAGTGTGAGGCAGTGCGGGACACTTCAGAGGATCAAGCTTACTGGGAGAGCATGAGCAATGTCATCTCTGAGGACAAAGTGAAAGTGTGGGAGGCTGCAGAGAGCAAAATAAAGCAGTACCAGTGAGTAACCATCACAGTAATACTTTATATAAACCAACCACTTACATCGAGTTAAGAGCACATTTATTAAACCTTGTAAATTTCTTCATAAGGCTTTTTATAGGGCAATCATATCTTTGCACTAAAATAATTACTTTTCTGTCTTCTTGTGTTCTCAGTGCAGAGCTGACAGAGATCTCAGAGCTTATCACAGAGACTCTGAGTCTGGAGCAGCAGAATGCAGAGCTAAGGGTGTTGCTGCAACAGTATCTACAGTCTATAGTGAGTGTGTGTGTGTGTGTGTGTGTGAATCTCAGTGTTGATAAAGTTTCTGACAGTTGTCACGCTGTTCTTCTGGTAATTATCAGTGAAAGGAAATAGGAAAAGAGAAAAACTGTGGGGTAATATGCAGGAAATACAAGTAAAGTTGTATTCTTTAATATAAGAAGTTTGTTTGGTATGATACTCTTCTATTCTCTTGACAGGTTTTCACAGATCTGGAGTCGTCATAACTTATAAGCGACATGGAATCAGCAGAACTTGGACAGCAATAAAAAGCCTGAAACTTATGATGGTATGAATGCTTATTTAACTTTCAGAGTTAGAACACTAAGTATCAACACCTGCTGCTGTACACCACGGTGCATACACATTAAACAGAGACATACAGAGGTTTTATCCAGCCATGTTGAAGAGTTTGTGGCTGAGCTCTGAGGGCACCGAGAAGAAGAGCAGGGCGAGGAAGAGTATGCCCAACACAGCAGCCAGCAGGAGCATACAGTGGAGCCTGTAGTTCCTCCAGACCAGGATACACAGCGTCCTCACCGGGCTCAGCAGCCATGACATGCTGCCTCTGGGGCGACTGTGCAGAGAGAGTCAGAATATAAAAGCTGTGTCTTTTATGTAAAGAGAAAAGAAAATGTGTCACTAAAAGGAAAAAGGACTCAAAATTCTGCTTCTACACCTCACACCCTTACACATTGTATCATCTCAATCTATAACCAGTCCAGCTTGAGTGCTTAAAGCAATTTTTCGGTGTAAATTTAAGTTAGGGTTAAAACACACTGTAACACCGAGTTAGACACCCCCTCAAGAGATGAATGTTGCCGACTGCTTGCTTCTCTAGTTATACCAACTTCAGCAATAACCGCACAACAGCAATACACAGCGGTCTACTTCTCCACGTGCAAACCTTAACTAAAAAGCCACTCTATAGCCACAAATAATGCTCAGAGCAGCACCTAACTTCATCAATAGTACATATAGGGTCCCAGCCATAGTACTAGCCATCAAACATCTTTTTAGCTTTGCCTGGTTTCTGTAGCAAAGAGACCAAACACAACTCACCCACTCTCCTCCAGCAGCCGTTTTTTTGTGAGGGAGCCCCGACAAGTCAATCCCATTGTGCAGCAGACAGTTTATGATTATTACCTCATGGAAATGCAGTCAGTCCGAAACACTGAGGCAGAAGAACTACCGCGTCTGCAGTGTGCATACAAGATACACAAGAACTCTGCCTGCATTTCACAAGAAGCATTAATCATAAATGTTCTTCCTTGAGCTGTGAAACTCCGCTGCACTCATTGATAGACTCGTCAGGGCTCCCCCACAAACAAGCAGCTGCTGGAGGAGAGTGTGTGAGTTCAGTCATTACTTTAGTTGGTATAACTAGAGAAGCAAGCAGTCAGCAACATTCATCTTTCGAGGGGGTGTCTAACTCGGTGTTACAGTGTGTATGACCATTACTTAAATTTACGCTAAAATATCCCTTAAAACCTCGGATTTGCTCTCCACCTATATCCACAATTTCCTTGAGGTCAACTATAGCGAGATATCTGTCTAAAGTCACAAGTCAAAGTATAACAATCCCAAATATTTAATTTCAATATCCAGATAAGGCAAATAGCCAATCATGGTTCAGGATTCCAGTGTGGTCAGTCAGACTCCAGAGGTGGACATGACCACTTTGGGGCTCTGCTACTGAACACAACACTTATTTTTGACCACTTAAGTAAGTGTAGCAAGTGTTATATAGAAACAGTGACTTTTTTTAAATCTCTGTATTGTTCTCTACAAACTTTCTCTCTTTTCAAGTGTTAATGAGCTCATTACTGCCTCTGTGGTTCTGTCAAGCAGTGAACTGGAGTCAGTCTCTAAGGAGGCTTGATCCTCAGCTCACTGTGAAACACCTCACTGTGTTGGTGTGCTTATGTTATCTGGTTCCTAGAAACTCAGATACAAAGCTGATTGTACATTTGTTTTTTTTGTTGTATTGTGCTAATTTAAAGGGGCCGAAAAAAAAATGAGCCCAGAGATACTGAACAGCTTTGTAGACCTGAAAGGAACCACATATCTGAGTGGTTAGCTGTTGCTGATAAATATGGTCTAATTTGCGGAGCGAAGCGAAAAAGCGACACGAAAATGTGAAAATATTCGCCGGTCCGAAAAATCGCTTTGGCTTATACACACCGGGCGACCACTCTGTGGTACACACTGTCTCCCATCGTTGCTCTTCGTGCCAGTGGTGGTGTGTGTCATGTGACCTGCAGCCGCATGGGTCTGTGACGTCATCAACAACATGACTTTTGATTGGCCAGAGCTCTAGCAGGTCCAGATATTCGCCTGCGAATCTCTGAAAAATTTGACACAAGGGCAAAAAAATAAAAGACGCTTTTTGCCCCACGGAAATATCGCCGCCGGTGTGGAAGCTTGCATTGACTTTATGCTGTTTTAAAAAAAGGCGAATAATTCCCCTGGCGAATTCGCGCCTGGTGTGTAAGGACTTTTAGGATGTGTTGTTCATTTAAAGGACAGATTGTGGGTTCCAGAGGGATTTGAACAATGTGTTCATTTAAATCCAGTTTATTTTAAATAGCCAAAACAGACGGAAAATAAATATTACACACATTTGAACAGATATATAAACACAAGTTCTCATTGTAAAAACAGGCAAGTTTAGTGCAAACATTAACTCTGTAAGTTGGTGAAACACAGAATCACAAACAAGGACTGCAACACAAATGAGGTCAAGCAGGCTTCTTAGAAAGGGGTTAACAGACACGGCAAATAACGCTGACTGACTGACTGGTGGGCATCTGGAGCCATAGTTTTTGGAATCAAACATACCCCCTTTACCACTCCACCCAAGTGCACTTCAATCTTACTCTATGTTACCTGTAATGTTAAGGACGACAAGGTGGTGGTTTGGTTTTTTTCATGCCAACACACATGACCTCTGTGGTCAGATATCACAATGATGCATGCATACTGACATTTTGGTAGATAACAGCAGTAACTGAGACATATTTGTCTCTTTTGAGGGTGAATCCAGCAGACTCAGTCGAACAGGATTAACAAATGTCTGCCTGAAGTTAAATCAGATGATCACAGTGAGCTGAGGAACATTTAATTACAGAGACTTGATTATTGGTGGAGTGTGGACCACTCTGAGCTGAGCTCTGCTTGTCTGGTACCAAAGAAAGTGTAAAAAATGGGATCAATATGTTTTTTAAAACTTTGTATTGGTTTGTAAATCCTGTTTGACTCAAGTCTTGCTTTGTTTTGTTTGAGATTTATTATCTGGCATTCCTGCTTAATTTGACGCCTGTACAATTTGGATCATTTTGAAGTTATCTTGTTCTATTCTCATTAAATTTCATTAGGAAAATAGACTTTTTCAGATTTCGTCTTCATTTTTATTCTCTAAATGTGCAAAACCGCAAGATTAATATAGTAAAAAAATGCAACACTGTGTCATGGCCCCCTATATAGCATTTATGTTCAGTATATAAACACTGAATGAGCATAGCTGTAAGCTGATTTGAATGTGGGACTCATAGAGGAGGCTGGTGCACAGATAATAAATAAAAACACAGGTGTAATCATGTAAAATGTGTATTCACAACACTGTACATTAATAAACTCTTGAATGTGCCTTTAAATCTGCTTACAACTACAGACACAACTTAGTCAATGTTTGAATAGTGTTTATAAATGCAAAATGGGGGTCCAGACAACAGTGTTACCAGAAATCTATGTTTACTGTTCCCTTTTTTCTGGATATTATATCTGGATATTACAACCAGAATAGGGAGATAATATCGCATCACTTGAAATGAATATTCATGCAATCATGAGACCACAAACACAACACCTGGATTTAGCTTAACAAGCTGTTTTAACAGAAAACAAACATTCATAGTCAGGTCACATTGCTTGAAAAGAAGACGTGGCAGATGATTGCTTTTATGTTCAGTTCAAGGATGGTGTCCAGATGCTGGGAGTTAGATTTTATTAGATTTGTGGCAGATTTGATGGAAGAGTAGACAGTTAGTGGAAAAAACAAGCGGAGGTGTCTGCAACTCTTCTCAGAGGCGGGAGGTGGTGAGCTGGGTAAGAGAGGAGGAAGCGTTGCAATCAAACCTCTGAAGCAGCTTCTTCCTTTGCCTCCCCTCCTGTGGGTGAGACTCCTTTCTTCTACTGTCTGTGTCTCCCCCATCCATCCCTCCATCTCCCCAGCTAGCCACCCCCCTCCCTCTCCGCCTCCCTTCCTTCCTTCCCTTTTCCGACTGCCTCTCAGGCCCCCAGCAGCTTCTTGACGAGGTAGCCCGGCATGCTGTAGAGGAAGAGGCCCAGCATGATGAGCAGCAGCAGGACCAGCACGATCTTGATGATCAGCCACTTGTAGCGGTTGCACACCAGGTAGCGGATGGCTTTCAGCGGGCTCAGGAACCACAGGAAGGTGGTGTCTGGCCGACTAGAGGGAGTAAGAGATGGAGGAAAGGATGGAGGAAAGTAAAGAATTTGGTGAAGAAGGTGTGCAGGTGAGAGAAAGAGCGAGTTAAAGAGGGTGAGAGGTGTTAGTGGATGGAGAAAAGGGGTGAGAGAGATGTGAGGAAACAAGGGAGGAGTAAAATAGAGAAAACTGGCATTAGTGCTGAGCAAGCCACTGATCATTTTTGCAAGTCATTTCTTACCACAGCATGCTCACAACCCACATTTCTACCAGGCTAATGTTTGCAAAAGATCACGTCACAGAGTGGAAGCTGAATATGAGAAATGAAAATGTTGATCAAATGGATTGATGAATGATTGACCAACAAACTCTGAACTTTTTTTGACCTTTAAAGTTGAGAAGAACAAACATCTACTGGGGACTGATCTTCAGTGACTACAAACTGTCACAAAAATGCAGTTTTTGTTTAACATTTGTCATCATCAACACATACCTCTATGATGTACCTTTGGATGATCACTTCTGTCCTACGATTACTGATGTCAGAGTCCATGTCAGACTCTTCAGAACATCTGGCTACAGTAATTTTGATATGACCCTGATATCAAACCAAGCAACTTTCCCATCTTAACCAAAACTTCAGATTTAGGTTTACAGTTGTTTTCTGGTCATGCCTTATTCCTTCTTTTTTTGTTTGTTTTGCATGCATGAGTTCTCCAGCTTTCTCTCACTGACCAAAAACATGCTCCTCAGGTTAAGTGCTAACTTTAAATTGCCCATAAGTGTGGATGTGTGTGTGTGGATATTTGTTTGACTTTCTATGTCAGCCCTTTGATAGACTAGTGACCGTAAGCTGTATATACTATGGACAACTTTGCTCTGCCTTCCAACATTATACGAAATTGAAGCAGAATTGCTCTCGGTATTTCTGGGATTTTCTCCACTTCCTGAAACCAACATTAGGCAGTAGCGTTGTATGTACTCCACCACTTGCGCAGTAGCGTTGTATGCATTTGGCGGGAGAGTCGAGAGTTGTTGCGATGACGATCGGCTCAACCAGCGTATCCCCCAGGTATGCTACGCAATCTTCATACACCCATAGGCTGTATCAAGTGTCAATCATAGAAAACATGAACCCCCTAATAACTTTTAAAAATGGAGCTGCACAGAAAAAAAAGAGGACAGTAACTACATGTCAACATCGAAACCAGTGGGGAGAAAAAAATATATTCTGTGTAATAAATTTCCAAAGTTTGTCCACAGCTCCATAGGGATTGCTGGAGGAGGGGAGATTTATGGCTAAGCTGCAGCCCGTCACCAGAGGGTGCTGTTCTTGTGGTGGTTTCACACAGCAAGGAGGCAGAGGGTGTCCATTCTATATACAGTTTATGCTGGTGACCTGTCTAGGATGTACCCTGTCTCTCACCCAATGACAGCCCGGAGACTAGGGTCCAGCCCCCCTGGACACCCAAACAGTTAAAACGGTAAAGATACTGAATGGGATCAAAAAAGGGGCTAATATTGCGATAGTGTGCAAAATACTGATTTGATACTCTCCCTTATTCTTACAAATGTCTATTTCTATTTTCATACGAAACAGTTGGTCACATGAAAGATGTGTAATGACACTTGATGGCAAATGACACAGTCACTACTCTACAAATAGGGCCGCAGAAAAGAGAGAAAGTGCAGGTACAGAGAGAAAACAGACACTGAAAAGGAGTTACAACTACACAGAAGAGTCCAGGAAGCAAAGGGGGGGTTCATAAGAGAAGCAGAGACACTGAGGACGGGGCGGAGGCTACCAGCGAATCAGGCCCCCAGTATCTTCTTGACCAGGTAGCCAGGGATTGAGTAGAGGAAGAGGCCCAGCATGAGCAGCAGCAGCGCCAGGCCCAGGATCTTGAGGATCAGCCAGCGGTAGTTGTGCCAGATGAAGTAACGAATGGACTTCAGAGGACTCAGAAACCACATTAGACTGGTGTCCGGGCGACTTTGAGGAAGGAGGAAGAGGAGGAAGAAAAGAAAGGATGCAGATGGAGGCAAAAAACAGGGATAGGAGAGAAGACAGGGGAATCGTACACAAAAAGGACAAGAGGAACGAGGGAAGGGAGGGGAGAGACAGAGGGAGACAGTTGAAGAGATGGTAGGAGGAGAAACGAGTGCGAAAGTGTAACAGTGGCCTTTTGACAGTGCAGAAAACAGGGCTGACATCAAAGAAGACCAAATTATCTCCGGAAAATCGAGCCCTGACTGGAGTAACGCAGCAGTGATTTGAGCCACTGATTTTTGCACTGTGCGAATGAAACTCTCCAAGGAGGTCAAAGGGGCAGTGATGCCTGAGCCTTTCCTCTATACAACCATCTGAAATAGATTTTCATGCACCAAGTGTGTGTGTGTGTGTATGTGTGTGTTTGTTAGAGTTCTACCTAAAATATGAAGAAAATATTAGTTATATATTTTACTTTGGTTTCTCCAGGGGATCTGGCTCGTTTCGTCCCAGGCCAACAGGACTTTTCTCGGCCTCCTCCGCTGTTACCAGATGAAGCTCCGCCTCTACTTTACCCTGTGATGAAAACAGAGTATAATTAATATGTCAAAATCAGCTGGAAAACCTGGACACATGTAGCTGTAAAGTTGATTTTTGGTATTCTCAATGAAAGATTTCTGGCATAATCATTTTTCTGTTCATATACAGTATATATTGGTATAATATAAATCTCTCTCAGTCTTTCAGTATAGTCAGCAGTTGGTCAGTATTTAGCTACTCACACACCCAAATCTTAGAGTCTTAAAGCCAGCAGGATAATGCCAGATGTGACTGGATTCACATAAAATCTGGGATCAGCAGGGTTGTGGGGAGGTTATTGCTATTCGTGTTCTCGCTACAGCACAGAAATGAGCAGGAAATATGATAATCTCCAGGTTATTGCTTTGTTCTCACACATTAAAACCTCCTTTCCCTTTCTCCAGAGTGTTTTGGCCAGTACTGCTCTCCATCTTCATTACACTTGTTTGGAAAAGGTTAACAGTTAATGACAGACAGTGCAGCAAATTCGACTCATTCTGTCTCTATTTAAGGGGATGCTTAGCTTGTTCTGTCTGTAGACTGTGTTTGTAGTCTGCTGTTTTCCACTAATTTTATGATTTTTCCCTTGTCTTTAAAGGGATATTCCTGCATACATTTAAGTTATGGTCAAACACACTGTAACACCGAGTTAGAAACCCCCCCAAGAGATGAATGTTGCAGACTGCCGCATGAAGCAATACACAGCAGTCTATGTTTCCATTTGCAAACCTCAACCAAAAAGCCACTCTATAGACACAAATAATGCTCAGAACAGCACGTAACTTCATCAACAGTACATATAGGGTCTCAGCCATAGTACTAACCATCAAACATCTTTTTAGCTTTGCCTGATTTCTTTAGCAAAGAGACTAAACACAGCTCACTCACTCTTCACCAGCAGCCGCTTGTTTGTGGGGGATCCCTGACGAGTCGATCCCAGAGTGCAGCGGAGTTTCACAGCTCAAGGAAGAACATTTACAATCATTGCTTCATGGAAATGCAATCAGACCGAGACACTAAGGCAGAAAAACTACTGTGTCTGCAGTGCAAAATGTTTATAACTTGATGGAAATGATCCGCTGCATTCGGTGATCGATGTGCCAGTTAGATGCTGTTCTTAGCATTATTTGTGGCTTTTTGGTTAAGGTTTGCACGTGGAGACATAGACCCCTGTGTATTGCTATCGTGTGGTCATTGGTATAAAGTTGGTATAACTAAAGAAGCAAGCGGTCGGCAACATTTATCTCTGGAGGGGGTGTCTGGCGGAACATCCCTTTAAGAGTTAAACCCATCGTGAGCAAGAGTTTTTCTATCGCCTGTTCCCTTTTGTTCAACAGGAGGAGACACGCAACAATTACAACATAAACCAGGATTTATTTGATCTCTGCTGTTTACTCATGACAGACTCACCGTGAGCTCCATCTCATCGTTCTCATCACGGGCTACAAACGGCCACCAACCCTTCACCCTCTTCTGTTTAAAGATGGAGATGGTGGGCAGCTCCTGCTCGTTCCGGATCATGTTGAGGGTGCACTGCTTGGCAGTCTTGGCGCCACGGGGGAACCGGTTCAAATCCAGCTCAATGGCACCTGAGAGTTGACAGTAATACAAGTCAGACAAAAAAGGAAAGTGAACGTTTCTATTGACTTTTTTAGGGAAGTAAATGAAACGGAATATTCCGTTGAAAACAAGCAACAAAAGAAGAAAAAAGCCAACAAGCATCAACATGAACCTCACCCAGGAAGTCATCAGCAGAGAAGTGGTCTGCATCCCAGACCTGCAGTGTGAGGCGAGGAGGGATCTTGTACTCCGTCTCATCCCAGGAGAACATGGACTCTTTCTTTGAGATGACGATCTTTTCCTCAGCCATGAGATAATCGAAGGGGTACACAAAGCGCCAGTTAAAGTTTCCCTCACCGGTCAGGGAGTGATAGTGCACATCTGTGTCTTGCTTGTCCTCCTGCTGCCCTTTAAGCCATCTGTGAAGGTCCACAGAGAGCAGAGTTAGCTGGAGCCTCAGGATCACTGTTTGGAGGGGGGATTAGTGGATAGATTTAGCCTTTGGGTTTTGTTTCATGCACCTCAGAAGTCTAAGTCTTAAGAAATTACAAATAATTGTTAGTTAATTTAGATGAATTTGTCTGATTTCAACAAGAGCACAGGACATGTTAAATGTACCAGGCTGCTAACAAGAGAGATGATGCTA